GTGTGCCATGTTGCTAAGCTATAGTGTTGGATAGGTGAGGTGTATTAAATGCATTTTTCACTTAAGGTATTTCCAACTGAAGATGGGTTTATCGGGCTATCACTTCATTATTGAGGAGCATCTGTGTGCTCTCAATAGCATCAAGGAAACCTTTGCCTCTTACAAATTTCCACACCAAGTTCTAGACAATTCTGCTTCTGATTTTTCCTGTCAAGTACTACAAAGAAGACTGCAGGGTTGTGCTGACCAGATTCCTGTCTCCAACCTCAGTTGATCCTCTTCAACTCAAGGGCATCAGGACTGAATTCTTTACTGTCTTCCCCAGGCCCGTTCCTTCTCATGCACTCTGTTTACTTAATGCTTCCATATCCACCCAGTAGCCAACCTCCACACTGATTCCCAACTCCTAATCCAAGCTCATTCATGCTTCCTTCTCATCTGACTAGCTTCACTGACTATATTTTCTATATTTCTAATTCATCTCCAGTTCTTCCCTACTGACATCACTGAGGCTGTGTGGTCATCCCCGTCCCACCTCTTTTAGTCACTATAACGTCTTCCTATGGAGTTCATGCCCCTGTCTCTTCCTATCCTTAGTAATGCTTATATTTTCACCTGCTATCTTTTTCAAAGATGGCTTTAATCACCTCCTTCCTATGAATCTTTGATGAAACCCTCAAATCTAAATTCTTAGCAAAGCATCAAGTCTGGACTCTAGGCCTTAGCTGTTCAATATGGTAGCCATTAGCCCTCCGTAACTATTTAAGTTTATTAAAATTAAATTTTAAAAAATTCAGTTCCTCAGTCACATTAGCCATATCTCAAATGCTCAACAGCCATATGCATTCAACCCATCTACAGTTGTCACATTTTAGAAACCTTCTCAAGGCCTCAAAATATGTAAAACGAGGACCCCACTGAGCTCCTCTATTTCTAGCCTGGTCCTTCTCTCATTGCACTCTCGTTATTTATGGGGATGCCTCTTCCACTCCTCGGTCCCTCAAGGAAAGTGAGGAGCTGAATCTAAGTCATTTTTGTCTCCTAGGACTTTATAGCGATTGATTCATGGGGACATCCATTTATTCCCCTTTCTTTCCCTTAAGAGTTACCTTTACTAGAAGGAAGCAGAAATAAGGTATAAGATGCTCTTTTCACATTTTGATATAAATGAAGAATGAGAAACTCCATCACGTGCCCTGTCTTTTCAGGTATGGACTCCAGTGGCTCCTGAGAATGGACTCTTCTGTTGCTACCCTCCCTCCCAAGAGCAGACTGAGTTCTTATCTTTTAGAACCACAGGGAAATAATCTGGCAAGAGCCACCGTTGTACCAGCTGATTTAAATTGAAATGTTTTCCCCAGATAAATGCGTGCTAAATAATACACCAGCTCTCCAGCCAAAGGGAAGTGACAGGCACTCTGTAAATAAAGGCACTTAGTTGCTGGTAAAGAGCTGTAAAGTGGTTCTGAGTTGATGTTTGCTGACCAGCAAGAAGTGGCTTCACCTGCTTTATATAATTGTCACTGCAGTTTTGCCTGCTGTATATTAAAACTGCATCTCATAGACCCAAATGTCACATCGGATATACCATCCAGCAAGGGGTATGCCGCCTTTTTCCGTAATTGTTTTTGACAACCAGCCATCACATCTCCTCTCTTTTCAGAAAGTGTCTGGTCCAGAATCCCTAGGCTGGGTCAGTTCTGACACCATGTGGGTTAGAAAAGTGACACCAAAAGAGAATATGAAAAGAAAAGCGAAGAGAAAAGAGAGACCTAATAACAAACAGTGGCAAATGCCTGGGCTTGGATCCCAATGGAGCCTCTACTTCCTCAATGTCAAGACACACTTTTTATGTTCAATTGCATCGTATTCAAAAAACCTGCCATGAGGTTGAAGGAATATTCTGACCCAAAAACACATTTGTCCCGAGTCCACAATTTTATCCTACTGGGTTCAGGAGAAACATTAAACATAGCTCTTGGGACAAAGTTGAGGATAGGGTTTCATAGAAAACAAAATAATAAAAGTTGGGGTGGCAATGGTGAGAAATCTATGTAGTTATCCTCAAGGAGAGCTCGATTTGTTCCCGCAAATGAAAAGAGTAACATGGAATCCTTTCTGTTCTCTATAATTCCAACCCCCTTGGAGCTTGGCCATGCCAAATGCCCAGATGATGAAAAAAGTATCAGAAGCCAGTGGGTGCTCCTGTTAGTCAAAAGGGTCCCAAAGAGGAAGAGTGGCAAGGAGACCCAGCTTGTCCATCCAGCCCATGTGTTGAGAGGAAACCAGGGATCTGGGTGCTGGGCCAGTGATGAGAGTTGAGCACTGGGTCAGGGTGACTTCTCTGTGTTGACAGTCGCTACCAGACCTCGGCCTTTGAAAAGTCAAATAGTAACCAGAGGATACTGTTAAAAACCAAGGACAGGGGCAGACAGGGGCACAACACAAGGGGAAATGCCAGGTTGGTGTCTGACAGCTTCAACATTGTATCCTGGAAAGCAGAACAGAGTGTGGGCTCCTAGGAGGCGTGTGCTCCACTCTACCAAGACCTGGAAGCCAGGCAAAGTATGGCAGGGCGTGGAACCCACCCTCTGCCTTCTTTCACTGTGCACATCTCAGTCCACTTATACCACAATACCAAACACCATTCACTGGGAAGTTTATAGACCATACATTGATTTCTCAGTTTTGGAGACTGGGAAGTCCATGATCAAAGCATCAGCAGATTTGGTGTCTGGTGAGAACCTACTTTCTGATTCATAAATGGCACCTTCTCACGGTGTCCTCACATGGTAGAAGGGTTGTGGAGCCTTTCTCTGACCTGTTTTGTAAAGGCACTAATTTCATGCACAAGGGCTCCATCCAAATGACCTACTCGCCTCCCAAAGGTTCCCCCCCTCCTTACACCATCACATTTCAACAAACAAATTTTGAGGGCACACAAACCTTCAGCAGTGTGTGCATGTGCATACACAAAATAGTGAATTTTATTTTTTGGAGTAAGGCCTTTCTCCTTCCTCCATATCTCCTCTGCCTAAACCTATTTTTCTTGTTTATGTTAAAAAGAATAAACAAGGCTTTTGAGCATTGGAGAGGGGAAGCATTCTTACTGGTTTGGCTATTATATGGGATTTGAGAGGTGGGCAATTGTTTAAGAGAGCTTGGAGGAATGCCTATGTCAGATGCATATGTAACTAAATTATACACTGAGATTCTCATCCCTGGACCTTGAAAATCATGATGACTGCACTGGGAGTACCCAGGCATGCTGGGGAAAGGGATGTTTTCCAGCCCACCCCTGCTTCTTCTGTTTCCACCCAAAGGGACAATTGCTGCTTCCACTTCTTTCCATTCCTTCTGTTGGTTCCTCTCTGGGAGAGGGGGCAAGTCAGAGAGGGATGTCAGCATGTCATTGCACCAGGTTTGTTAGCAGGGAGATTTGCTGTGCTTTAGAGCAGCACATGAGTCTCTTGGGGCATCTTATTAGAATGCAGATTCCAACAGGCAGGTCTGATGTAGGCCATGAGATTGTGATTCTTCAACAAGCTCCCCCAGTTGGTATTATATCAGGAGAATAGAAGAAAATTAGATGTTGATAAAATTGTTAGAAGGCCAGAGAAACCAAAGTCAAAGAGGCCACCATGTGAACTTGGCAACACCAAAATGGAAGCTTCCTCTGAGCTTGACCAGAAGCTGCTGTGAATCTCAAGACCCTCAGGCAAATCCCCCCACCTCTTCCCTCAACCTCTGGCCGCAAAGATATTGGTTCTCAGGAAGCTCCCCTGAGAACTATGTTGAATCCCCCAAGTCTGTTCAAGTTCTGGCAAAACCAAGTCCTCTCTTTCTCTTTCTCTTTCAAAATCTCACTCCAGGGCGCTTCTTTCACTGATGCTTTCATAGAATCAGTAAAAGGAAGGAGATCTGCAGAGAATAGGTTTCCAGGAACTGTTTTTCCTGGTCTTGCTGCAATGGTGACCAGATGTTAGATGGAGGTGGTGATACCAGTTGACAAAATATAATGGAGCACACAGGTCTAGGATGCATGATCAAGCTGAGTTTCCACAAACTCCTGCATGAGGAGCTCTACCCAGCTATCTATAGGGTGGCTCCTAGCCCAGGAGCTGTAGTTCTCATCAGCTTTGTTCCTTTAAATTTCCATCTTAGAATAATAAGATTCAGGCTTCCTATCAGGCAGCCAAAACCATCCATCCAGTAGGCACAGATAAAAACCATTCTATAGTTTACAGCAAGCCTGCACAGAAGACTCAACATGGAGGAAAATACTTTCATGCCAACCTTCCAGATCCTGAGAATCACGATCATTTGTTATGGGGTTTTGGCTGTGCTGCCTCTCTGAGACTCCTAGATGACATCTTTACTTGTAACCACCTGCCCAGGATCCCAGAGCAAATGACAGGGAAGATTGGGGGCAGAGCAGAAGGCAGATGTATGTCATTCAAGGCTGCTGTGCCTCCTCCAGGAAAATGCATGGGCTGACATATGTCATCTCTTGCTAAATGACTTTCAGTGCCTGTACAGTCCTCACTCTCCAGAGATCACTGTTCCTTGGTCCACAGAGTCTCAGATGCAGCCCTAACAATGTCAATGCTCAACACCCATCTCAGTTCAATGGTAAAAGTATACACTGGGAGGAAGCCCTAGGAATGTGCAGCTGACATCTTTTCAATGCTTGACATTTGGCCAGTGACCCTGGTCAGAAAGCCACTGTTTAGAAAGGCTGAAGGTGTGGCCATTGAAAGACTCATTTATTATCTAGGAAGGCAACCTAGTGTGCACAGGGGAGATCAGAGCTCCCGCCTGCATCCCAGGATGGCAAGAAGAGGCAGCAGCTGCCCCTTTGAAAGCCATCACTGTGACCACAGGTTTCACTGCCAGGCAGGCGGATGTGAGCCTCTTTGAATTACTGAATGAAGGATATCCCTCTTGCCAGCCCCTGTCCCCCGAAGGCACGGCAGAGAAGTATTACAGGCTGTCCTTACCTTGGGAATTAGCCTGCAAGACCCCGATGCTGTCATCAAACTGCATAGATTTGATGTTGAGTGACGCCAAGATGCATTCCTTGTCCTGCAGCGAAGTATCATCAATATTATTCTGATTGGCTGACAGGATAACGCACATGTCACAGAGGTTGATGTTGACAGCCCTTAAATCAGCCCGACTTAATGGCGTACCCTTTGGCATAGAGGAACGAAAAAGAGAGAGAAGCAAAAGTGAGACCAAGGGAGAAGAGGGAAGGAGGGAAAAAATAAAAACAAATTAAAGATTGAGCCAGAGCTTTGGGAAATTATTTAACAAGTATCTTTTTTATGCCCTGACATTAAGCTGGCCTAACTACATTTCTGGGAATAGGGGCTGTGTGCTAATCTAAAGGGTAGTCGGTGCTGATGGCAGCATTTCAGCCTGCCTCTCAATACTCAATCAAGCTATTACTAACAAATGCACGAGAGGAATAATGCCTGGGTCTACATCTTCTTCCTGTCTGGAAATTGTCTTGATTTAAGTAACTGTCCTGTGGCAACCTCTGGCTTTCAGAATGCAATGGTGGGGGGAATATATCGGGGGGGGGGGGGGCAAATGCCTGTTTATTTAATAGCAGGTCACTTCTGTCTCAGGCTAAAGACAGCAGTTCTAACTAGAATTTTCAATGCAGCCAAAAGGAAATCTCAGTGAGATGGGTGTGATGAGGTGCTCTGCTCGACTGAAGCTCTGCTACGTACCGGAGGGAGTGGGATTAATGTGCATCTTGCAAAGGGGAGATAGAAGAGAGGAAGCCTGAGGTCATATAATTTTATTCTTTTTAGCAAGGAAAAAAACCCAGGAAATCACCTAATTATCCAACAACAGGAAAGGTTAAAAATAGTATTGGACATGTTTACCAAGGAAGAGTATGCAGCAGGTAAAGAGAGGGAGCTTGCTCTCCAGGTAGTGATCATTTTTTGGAAAAAAATCTCAAAGATGGAGGAGGAAGTGGGGGAAAAAAGTTCTAGAAGCATTCAAAAAGTGTAGCTTCATTTATGTAAAAAAAAACCCTCCAAATAAAATTATATATTTATAAATACATTTATAAATGTATGTAAATTCAAAGAGAAAACTCAGGAAAAAATATACACAAACTAATAACAGTAATTACCTCTGGGGAGGGAAAAAGATGGAGGGGGTGAAAGGGAAAGTTTGCCTTTGACTTTATATACGTCTGTGTTGTTTGAATATTTTATAGCAAGAACATATTTGTATATTACTGGTATAATTAAAAATAAATAAGCCAGTAAACAGATTTTTAAAAAAGATCCCAGAATAACATAAGACAGTGGCGGGGGTGAGAAGGAACAGATCTAGAAGGTAAAGGTGGATTGGGTGGACTGGGGGGCAACCAAGGCAAAACAAAAAGGAGAGGGCCATGATCTCCACATGCTCTGTGTCCTCCAGAGGGACCACAGCAAAACTCACTGGGCCAGCCCATATCAGAGCTCCACAGCAGCCATGGAGCACCATTTTGGGGTTCCTATCCAGCTATCAGCCTTGTTGGTCTTCCAGACTGAGTCTAGAGTCTGCCTTGCCAACACGGAGACCCCAGTTGCCCTCAAATCACTGCCTGCATAGGGAAAGGGCTTGCCTCCTGCTGCAGGTATCTGCAGATGTCTTTCTCTTGTCCCCCTTCCTAGAGAAGTGACCTTGAGAAGATAGAACCTGGCTGATGATTGGAACCCATCCTGCTCAGTGATGGTCATGGTTCTGTTCTCAGTCGCTCAATTATCACTGCAAAGTGGAAGCAGGGAGGACAGGCATTTAGTGTCCTGGGTGCTGGAAAGCTAGTGGTTCCAGGCACTGAAACTGAATCTTTTAAGAGAAGGAAAATGCCCTCTCCTATGATATCTTGGTGGAAAATAAGTCTTGCCGACTTCCTGTGTCCTTTTGCCAGTGCATAAACTTCAATTGCCTACATACATATTTTTTTTAAATTTTCACCTTGTAGGGAATCCAGCAGTAATTGTGATATAAGACAATCCCTGGGCAGTTGTAGACACGATTCCAAACCACAAGAAATACAAATCACATACACAGAAAACTTCTGTGTTTCTCTAAGCTGGCCCTATATGCAAGGTACTGTTTAAACAGTGTATGTATTTTAGTCCTCATTATGGTCAAGGTCCATTTTGTGCAAATCTACTTTGCTTGGAATACTAAATTTTATAGGGTTTGAAAAAGATTTGCAAATATGAGAGGTCATTCATGTGTCCAGAGGCAGGGGAGGAAATGTGTACAAGGGAACATACAGAAGGAAACACACATACCTAAAACATGCACACACAAATATAAAACATCACACACACACACATACACACACACACACACACATCCCAGTAAAATAATAACCTTTTTACAAAGATACTCCTAGAGGTCAAGAGACCATGTGGAACAGAATGTGTATGATGATAATCACAGAAATATCATATCTAACATATTTCTGAAATTAGCCAAGTATATAAAGTATATGGTTATGTAGAATGTGTATGATGATAATCATAGAAATATCATATCTAACATATTTCTGAAATTAGCCAAGTATATAAAGTATATGGTTATGTTCCTCTAAGCCTGTGACTTTTTGTTTGTTTATAGTGGACTATCCTTAACTATGTTAGTTCACTAAGGCCATCAGTTTGGGGCTCTGCATCTAATATATGTTTACTGAAGACCTACTGTGCCAGATATTTTCTAAAATGACTAATGGCTTCTAAGGGGCACTTATTCTTCTACGTAAGAATAAATATGTATTCTTACGTAGCACACACATATATATGTACTACGTAAGAATACATACTTCTCATGTATTCTTTAATGAAATACATCCTGGATCCTTTCTCCCCACATTTCCGAGATTATGGAATCTCATAATAGAAATAATGGACTTTGGCTTCAAAAGTAGAGGAAAATATAGACCTCTTGACATGTAGAGAAATCCATGTTTCACAGGTTTAGAGATATAAACAGAAGAAAAACATTTGGAGGATAAATAATATTTTCATGAATTTGTGATGTGACAACAATTTCAAATTCTGGAAAGCAGACTACTTTATAATTTTTTGAAAGTTTGCAGAAAATATATTGATTAGCTTAGGAAGTAGTTATGTGACTCCTAAATCACATATCCCAGATCCTCACACTAAGTCATTTCTTGTAGATTAGGGTCCTAGTGTTTTGCAGTCAAGAATATCAAATGCAGCCAGGCCTAGTGGTGCAGGTCTACAGTTCCAGCAACTCAGGAGGCTGAGGCAGGAGGAACTACAAGTTCCAGGCAGCCTCAGCAACTTAGTAAGATCTTGTCTCATAATACAAAAACAAATAAAAAGGATTGGGGATGTAGCACCATGGGTTCAATCATCAGAAAACAAAAACAAAAAACAAAGACTGTATCATGCATACATGTGCACACATACATACATACACACATGGCCATGAAAAACACTGCTGAGCTTCTGAACATATGGTGGATAGGGGCAGCCCAGGAAAGGGGTTGAACTTCTGTAGAATAGAAATAAAGAACTCCGTTATGTAGTCTGAAATAGAAGGAAGTATGATCAAGGTTTCTCTAAGCATTAAGTGAAAGGCCAAAATGTCATAAGTGAAATGACATAAATAATTATAAATAATTCTAAATTCTTACTGTAAATCACCATGTCTCAGCGCTCTGAGTTGTGTATAGTAGACAAGAGCAACAGAGTGTTTAGACACCTATACGGTTAACACACATGACACCAGCTAAACTTCATCCCTGATGAGGGACTGAACTTGGCTGCATATTCCTTTTAATAAGGTCTCCCAGGGTTTGGCTTTTCCTAGGCAGGGCATAGGGGAAGGGCTGCATCCTCAGGCCCATACCCAGATGAAGAAGCAGAGGCAGAATCAAAGCTACAACGATCACATCCATCTGGGATTTTCTTTTGTGAATAAAAAGAAGAAGGAAAAAAATCATCAATAATGCGATCTTGGACTTACAGGCAATATGGACACTTTGGGGAAGTTATGAAGCGTTTCCCATTCCCGCTTGAGGTACTCTATGGAGCCCACAAACACAATGTGCTTGAGCTCATGGTAATGAAAGTTGCTGGCACGGAGTGGCATCACCAGGTTCCGGAGGCCAATCAGGGCTGAGCTGACATCACCAAAGATGCAGACCACAACATGGCCACTCAGGACAGTCATGGCGGCTTCACTTCGAGTCTGCAAAAGTGTTGGAGAGAAGATTTCAGAGTATTGTTACAAGGAGAGAAAAAAAAATCATTCATGCAAAGTGAACACTGGCTGTGTGCTTACTATGTGGTATTGCTTGGTTTGGGTGTGGTCCCAAGGGCCCACTGTGATGAAAGGCTTGGTCCTAGGTAGTGCTGTTGTGTGGGGGAACTTTGGAAGTTAGAGCCCAGCAAGTAGTTCTCAGGTGTGAGGTAGCTCAGGTATGATCCCATTGGGAGCTCTCATAGGGCCCTTGACTTCCCCTGAGATCAGTGTGAAAGCAGCAAGCCTAGCAATGTTCAGACTCTTACTCTACTCATGTTCCAGATGTAGTCATTGACTTACACTCTCACCATGAGGCACCACCACACAACACCCACCCTCACTAGAGACCAAATGGATGGGGCCACCCAATCTTGACACTGAATCTCCAAAACTGTGAGCTAAATGAACATTTTCTCTTTATAAGCTAGCTGTCTCAGGTATTTCCTTGTAGTAATGTCAAACTGACTAATACAGCCATTGGTTTTACTTCATCAAAGTCACATACATGTCATATATACATATATATAATTTGCATATTGTGTACATAATGTATTTATATAATAAATACATGTAAACATACACCCACACATATCACTATCCTCTTGAAGAAAAGATCTAAGATATGCCATACATAAATGTGAGCAGGAGATATTTTATAATGATCTTCAGGGAGGACATTAAGAAGGAAAAGAACTATTTATTATTTGGAAAGACAAGTCTTAGGTTCCTTGGAATTTTTGATATAATTAGATGCATTTTCAGGTTCTCTTGCTCAGATGATGGCAAAAATAGATATTTTTGTCAGTGTCAGCTAGAGAAATTTGAGTTTTGAGTTCTAGATTTATCAGTGAAGTGTCTTATATGGTCATAACAACTAGGTAGAATGTGATAGCTAAAGCCAGGGTGCTGACAACTCTGGCCGGCAGCCTCAGTCTGGTATATCACATGCTACTGTATGTCCAGTGAGCTAAAGGTGATTTTTGTATTTCAAAATGGATGAGAACCAAAATCAAAACAAGAATATGTCATCACATGTGAAGATAATATGAAATCTGAATTTGAATAAAGTTTTATTGGAACACAGCAAAGCTTACACATGTAGGTATTATCCAGTTACTTTAATGGTACAGCAGTTGACCTGATCAGTTGTGACAGATCCTATGGCCTGTGAGCCCTAAATCATTCATTATATGACCTTTTATAGAAAAAGTGTGTTGACCCTGTCCAATGCTGCCTTGGGGTTTCCAGGGGGGTTCCTGGAGAGGTTACCTTATACAAAAAAGGACCCCCAAGGAATTAATAAAAGGGTCTAAAGAGGGACTGGGGCTGTAACTCAGTGCCAGAGCACTTGTCTAGCATGCTCAAGGTTCTGAGTTCTATTCCCAGCACTATAGCAAAAATAAATAAATAAAGGAAGGAAGGAGTTGTCTAAAGAGATTAGTAAGTGCAAGAGGACAGGTCTTATTCCAACCCCACCTCTGTACCAACAAAGGAAACCAATGAAAGAACACTACCTGCAGAGGACCTCAGTTTCCTAGAAAATGTAAATGAGTAGCCACTGCTGACCTTTTTACTCACCAAGTTAGCAAAGAGGATAATACAAGGAGGCCAGTTGTGAGCCCTTCTCTGCCTCTCCCAGTCCAAGGACTCCCATGTTTCCTGCCTTCCTCCCTGTCCACCCACTGCATGCCTGGTTGGCCCCATGTGGCTTACAATGCTTTGGGGGAGGCATATTAATGTCCACAGCACATATCAAACTCTGCTTGATTTAATCCCTAGCATTGACCAGTGTATTGATTGTTTAAATGCCAATATTGCAATTCACGACAATGTCAGGGTTATTATAGTAACCCCCAAGGAAAGGAGGAAGCTAGCTTTCATTCTCTGATCGTTAGAATAAAGTAGGGGCTGTCACCATTATTGGTTTCCCTCTGCAACAGACAGAGAAACCTGAGACACAAGCTGTAAGAAATGCCTAATAAACTGTGAACAAAGAGAACCCCCTCCCCTGGGGAGCTCACATTACCTACCACTGCTTCAGGAGAAGACCTGGAGCTGGTTATTGGGCTGCATGGAAGTATAGTGCTTGGGTACTGCAGGAAGAGAGTCCACCAGTCTGTGAAAGGCTATGATGGGATTCCTAATTACTTTTAATTGTCCAGCTCATCTGGGAAGCTACCTGCCCTCAACAAGCCAAAGGATTACAAACTGGATCCTGGATAGAAGCTAGAAATATAGAATATGGAGGTGAGCTAGGTGTCAGCATGCAGAATGATCCAGGCACAGATGCTGACCCCATGAGCTTAGATCTGGGATCAAAATAATGATTTTCAAATGTGCTGTAGCAACATCAACTGAAAAACTTTCTAAAAATCCACATCCCTGGACCTCAGCCCTGGAGAATCTGATGCTGCCAAGCTTAAGCCCCACTAGAGGAACTACTCATGTGGTTCTCTGTGCATCCTGTATTCTTCCTGCATTCTTCAATGCCCAACGCAAAGCCTCCATAGCCTTAAACTCCTTCCAAGCCCAATCATGGCCTTCCTGGCCACTTAAACACATATGGGTGTTTCTCTTATAGTTTTGAATGGCATTTTGTGCCTGATATCACTCAGGTTAAATAGGTTGTTCTGATTATATGATCTTCTCTCTAATGAGATGATCATTTCCTCAAGATTGTGACCATCTCATATATATTTTATCTCCAAAGTCATTTGTGTCCTACACCCAATGAGTAAATACCACCATAAAGCACCTTCACATAGGTGGCCCTTCAGTTATTCTCATCTACTTCAGGGTTACTTTAGAGAAGGCTCCTTTGATCACACTGTCTAAATAGTACTTCTAAGTCCATTTATAGCCCAGGATCTTGCTTTATTGTCTTCATAGCACTTTATTAATATCTGAAATAATATCATGCACTTGTTTGCCTATTTGGTGGTCTTCTCTTTGCCCCACTAGAATACAAGCTCTATATATTATAACTTCAGAAAAAGAAAGTGCTTAATACATAATAGGCTTGCTATAAATGTTCTGCTAAGTGGTGTTATTTTTCAAATAAACTCATCTCCCTCAACTCTTTTTCTTGAGTAGGGGATGTTGATCAGATGTCAGTTAACATAGGGTGCTTAGAAAAATCTAGGCAAATTATTAAAACCCTGGATTCCAGATTGAGCATCCAGCCTAGGATTTGCTTCAGGTGGGTAACACCAGGCTGACTTTAGACCAGCAAGGTAAAGTGTGGTGGAGACAGCACCAGAGGGTAAATGCACAAGCAGCTTTGTGGTTAGAGCCATTTTCTCCTGGTGACCTACACAATGGCTGTTTACTGAGAATTTTGACTTTCGTGCTTTGGCACCTCCAAGACAGCCTCTAGTGTGAAGTTGTATTGGCTCTTACTGCTCGCTTATAATTAAGTTGAGAAAACACACACTAGACAAAACACAGGAAAAATCTAGTGAATTAGAGCCCACAGCCATTCTGAGGACCTAGAATAGTCCTGTGAAGAAAAGTTGGCCCTGACATCAGAAATGACAGGATTTTTTTTTTTTTTTTGTCTGACAAAGGAGGGGACCCACAGCAATCCAGGGATTAACGGCACTGGGAGGAAAGAACCTCTCTGTCTGACCTTCTTGTTATTAAACCATTTTTCATGGATTAGCAAGACAATAAACTCTAGGAAAGCCAATGTGGGCATTTAAACCTAAAGCTATTAATAAGGCAAATGCCAAGAGTAGAATGGATGGCTATCTATGCTGACAATCTGGGCCAGAACAGAAGCAGCCCACTCTTGCTATGGAAGTGCTCATGAGCCATCCATGAAGCAGGACTCTGAGCCCAGCCTCCCCAAGGTGGACCATGGTTCTGCACTGTCACCAGCAAATGTACTTGCCCATGTGCATCAATTGCAAAGCTTTTATCTCCAAGGGTATAAACATGGTTGTGAACAATAACCACATGGGCAAGATTCAGATCTATTATGGCATTTAAAAATAATAATGATAATAATAATAACAGATAGAACAACAGGTCACTTTGTACAGTCATATGTCATCTTCATGACCCTCTGAGTTAGGGTCATTCTTACCTCATCTTCTTACAGATGAGAAAACTGAAGTGCAGAGAGCCATGTGACTTGCCCTGAGCCAGGTAGCTACTAGATGGCACAGGCAGCCTCTGACCTCAGAAATGATGCACATCTTGCCTCCAATGATACCTTGCCCTCAGCACATGATCACCACTATTATAATGAGCTAATAAATATTCAAAGACTGAAGAGTCCTGCTCTTGCTTGTGTTCTGATTAGTGGTCTAGCTGCTTCACTCTCTGCTTGGAATTGGACTCATCGAAACTCATTAAGACCAGCGACTGTGTCATTCTATTATCTGGTTAGAAGGAGCTCATTCCCTATTAAGTATAGTACCAAGCAGATGTGATGACCTGGGTTTCACAGTCCCTCACTCACCAGGATGACTTTCTCGATCTCCTTGGGTGCGCACCAGTGAAACATCCCTGTAGAGTCATACTTCTTCACGTTGGAGTCCATGTTGTCAATCTGATCATTGCCAGGAATTAACAAGGGGTCATGCCTGGGGAGAAAAGGACAGGAAAACCTAAGTGGAAAGGGTGATAAATTATAAATGGAGAGTGTCCCCTGAGTTACATCTCAGAGGAGATAAAAGATGCGGAGGAAGTGGTTGTCACTGACAGCCATCCTCTTGCGGGCAGAACCTGTCCCTTGAAAGACAACTGCCTCAAATCACCACCACCCATCTCAAAGTGCAGTCAGGTGATAATTCCGTCTTTCTCCTGCACCTCGATTCTTAAATAAGTTTCAGGCCATTTTGTGGACTTGGCTACCCTTTCTAGGGCCACTGCACCCCTCATTCTTTCTTTTTACCAGCTATAAATTTCCCCAGCATGTGCACCCCCACCTGCACCCCAAAGGGTTGCTATTAGCATCGGCAATGAAGAGGAAAGAATAGGAATAGAGCCTCATGCTGACTGACTGGCATGAGGATGGAAAGCCAATTACTTGCTCTTTCTGACTACAACTTCTGACGTGATGCTCTTCGCAGTAAAAGCTTTAACAGGCTGCACTTTAAATATTTTAGCAATTTGCCCAATCAGATTTTGCTCTCTCCGGCTGAAGCCCTTTAAAGATTCAGCAGCATGTCACTTCAGAGCAGATTGACTACCAAATGCCCACATCTGGAATACATGATTTCAATACTAAACAACACCCTCGCTCCATGCCTTGACAACTGTATTTGCACTCACTGTCCAATGATGGTCCCCACCCCCACCCCCACCTCTTCTTCCCAGTGCAGCATCCCTTGGATGAATGCCTCAAGCTAAGGTGCATTGTAATGAACTTGTTTCAGATTCTCAGGGCTCCATTCACCCTCTCTTCCCTAGTTTGCAGAAAGAAAAGGGGAATCTTCCTACAGAGGCTGCCCCTCCAGTGGGTTGCCAGAGCCTCCTTGACAACGTTAAGAATTACAGGAAAATCAGGCAGTGGAGTAGGCTTGCAGCATGAGAAATAAGCCCCGCATCTTGGGTCCCAGTCCTTGCCCATGATTCTACTCTGATAGCAATTCAGCATCTCGGTGTGGAAATCATCATTGGTTTCTACAACACAGACCACATAGAATTAAGACACTGTCCTTTCAATGAAATTATCTTCTTGAGTCATATTATCCACCCAAGATTAAAATTTTTTAAATGTAAAATGATTTTGCCTTTAAAATTATCTATTTCAAGCATCAAAGGATAATCTTTATTCATATTTTAGTGTCTCTCTATTGGAAATCTCTGATTCTTTCTCATTAACATGTCTAGAATATAGAGATTGAGGCAGCAATCTGTATCTGGTCCAAAGAACTGGCACAAAGCTCTTTAATACCTACCCACCCTGACCCTCCCAATATGCTTCTCATCCCCACATAAGATGTGAAAACTCTCTTACTATATTTACTAATTCCTAAGAATTTGCTTTTAGGCTACACTAAATGACAAATACCAAATGAGGCAGTCCTACAAGCTATGTTCAACGAACATGCTAGATAACTACAGCAACTGTCATATCCAATCTTCCAAGGAGTGGAACAATCCAATTCAGAGGAGCATCTCAATGGCCAGGTTGTTGGGAGGTCTTGAGGTGTTGTAAACAACTGCTTTTCAAACTGAGCTGAGTAAAAAATGCTAAAATAAAAAGGCAGTTGCTGATAAGGACTGATCACAGATCAGGTTGAAAACAAAATCTGAGGGTTTTTCATTTTATCCTTGAAGAATCTTTAATAGTGCCATTTGTGTCAGGTTATGGGACAGGCAGGTAGAGAGCAGCTCCCCCAGAGAAGAGGGTGGAGAAAATGAACCCTTCCCAAAGCTTGAAGAATAGATTCCAGTTACAAGAGAATCTTAATAAGCTTGCCTCAAAGATAAAGTACCGGGTTCAAATTATTTTGCCCTACTTATTGGCTGGGTAGAAAATATTATCTTAAGAAGGTGTGAGACCTGCCCCAGTGCATTCATGGTTTGAGAGATACCTGGACTAGGTTCATATGATATCAGTAATAAAGACAATGATACAGAAAGTGAACAAAAATTTCTTTCCAAAAATAGATTCCTTAGGAGAGAGGAGATGCATTTTTGTTTGGTTCAATTGGTTCTTTCTAGAAAGGAGTCATTCCTTGGTGACAGTGGCCTGTAACCTTCATCTTAGAAAAGTAGTGAGAAAAACCTGACAGTTGATTGACTCTCATGAGAGGACAAAAAGACAATGAATGCCAAGCTTCATTAGCTGGGGTGGAGGTTTGGGGGAACCAGGTAAAATTTGACATTACAGGGCTACAAGCCACAATTTGCACTGGAACATCCAGAAGCATCCAGTAAGTCACAGAGGTACTCTAGGCTGCAATCTATCCTCCCTGCCAATCTCTCAGCCTGACCTGGATACTTTAAATATACATCATCCAGGATTTCCCCCAGTGGACTTGATCTGAGAAACATCAAAAAACTCCCTGAACATAGATATTTCCTTTTCACACCAGCCATAGCACCTGGAATTCTAACTTTGTTTTCTTTAATCAGCAAAGTAATCAATAAACATGAATCCCCTATTCTGAGCCAGGAATGGAAGATGCAGTAAGGGTTAAGACAGAGGCCCTAGTCAAAGGCGGGTTCACAATACTGCAAGAGAAAAAAGACATAAATCAAAAATTATGATATGCGGTGGCAAGTTCTATCACAAAGTAACCTCCAAGATATGACAGTGTCAAGAAAGAAGCTGTTTGTTACCTGGTTTTTGAGAAGCATCAAGGAAGGTTTCTCGAAGAAGGTAGCATTTGATCTGAGCCTTGAAAGGTGAGGAGGAAACTCTGCATACTTTGGTGTTGATCTACCAGTAGCTGTTAGGAATAGGGTTAGATATTGCCTAACCTAAGGAATAAAAGACTCAGGTATATCAAATTAGAAATCTTTCAAAGGTGAAGTGATTTGTTTCCCAAGCAAGTGGGTTTTCTGTCATTTGAGATGTTGCAGAAGAGCTAGGGATATCGTGGGCATTTAATTACAAACGTTGGGTGAGCCTAGAAGATCTTTCGAGTCTGAAGCAGTGTGCGCTTGTTGGGCAGAGAAATAGAAGGATTTTGCACATATTGGACCACTGCCGAGCAGCAAAAGACCAGAAGGCACTGACTAGGTGATGAAAGGTTGTTGGAATGAAGATGTGCAATAAGATGCATTGAAGATTGTTTGCTTTATAGTTCCATAAAAGGCCAGTAATGCCCTACATTCATTGGATTCCTCTCTCTGGGAGGGAGCTTGGAAAGTGGTTTGTTCCAGCCATATAAGAATCCGTGATTACTTAGGGCCAAGCAGGATATGTTTCTTTACCATGTCTGTTCCTGTAGTAACTACAAGTGCCTTACATTGACTTATGCTACAGAGAGATCCCTAGCATAGGTGGGGACTAAAGAGTCAGTTGTCTCCAGGGATTTCTGCTTCTGAATCAAGGATTCTGGAGTTTATATTCACAGAAGAAAGCCCAAGCATTTGCCATTCTGCATACCAACTAATGTTGCTGTGGTCGGGGGAGGCCAGGAGGAATCAGGCAGTTGCTGCACATGGGAAGAAGGATCACAGACCTCTGAATGAGGCATTCCAATATCTATGGGTCCCAGGATGCCAAGGAGAAACACTTTCAGAGACTACCAGGCAAATCCCCCAAGACTACTTGGTTGCAACTGAGGACCAATACTAGATATTGCCTTTCACGTCATAATAAAACTTTATTTCTTCAACTCACATAGTAATCCCCAACTCCTCTAAAATGTACCATAAGTAATTCGTAACTCATTTGTCACTTTTGACTTCTCCAAAGTGCTGCCTTATTTTAGAATAATAGAAATTCTCTAAAGCGAGTTATAGCTGCCTCATCATTATTATGGGCTGAATTGTGTCCTCTGCCACAATTTGTATGTTGAAGTTTTAACTCTCAGGACCCCAGAATGTGATTGTGTACTGCAATCTGATCTTGAAAAAGTAAGAGGAGGTCAGTGAGGTGGGGCCAATATGATCAGTGTCCTTTTAAAAAGAGGGACTTTGGACAGACATGTACAGAGGAAAGGTCATGTAAAGGTATGGGGAGAAGATAGAGCTCTACAAGTCAAAGAGAAAGGCCTGGGACAGAGCCTTCCCTCATGAACCTCAGAAGAATCAACCCTGCAAAGACCTTGACCTTGGGATTCCAGCCTCCAGAAATGTGAAAAAGTTAATTCCTATTGTTTAAAACAGTAGGTCTGTGGTACTTTGTTACAGCATTCCCAGAAAATTAACACAATTTTCTACTTTGCAGAAAAATAGACACCATATACCAGTTAGCCCTCGGATGATGGTTCCTGTAGCCCTTCTTAACCTCAGGTCCTACTTGTTCATGTACGGGAGAAACACATACTACCATCATTTTAGGAATGCATGAAATAATGTCAAAGATACACAGTATCTTCCTTAAAGAGTTTGGACAATGTCCCTGCCCTCCCCAGCAGTGTCCTTAAGCCCCAACTTATGTACATAATTGATTCAATTTGAAGATTACATGAGTAAAGACAGGTCATGCATGTAGCACAGAACTTGAAAGAGCATGTCTTAAAGAAGTAGGTATTAGGGCTGGGGTTGTGGCTCAGTGGTAAAGCACTTGCCTAGCATGTTTGAGGCACTGGGTTCAATTCTCAGGACTCCATATAAATAAATAAAAAATAAATAAAGGTCCATTGACAACTAAAAAATATTTTTTTAAAAGGTAGGTATTATTATTGTTGTTGTTGATACTATTATTTATATTTAGCTTATGACTCATTCATGTATTTATAGTTCTGACTGGTGAAAGGAATCAAGCAAAATAGAGAAGTTCAGTAATTAAGATATAGAGTTCCTACTATGACTTCTGGCTGCTACCATGGCTAGTATGATAAAGAGAAACCATGAGTTGAACCCTGACAAATGTTGCTGTGCTAAAACTTACATTTTGTAATTTGCTTTTCCAGTAACAGTGTAGACAATTTCTGTTATTATCTACCCATGTATATGG